CCGCCGTCCCGGGCGCGGGCCGGGCTCAGCGGGGAGGTGGGTAGTGAAGGTGCCGTGGGGCTCCCCGCCCCCCCACCCCCACTTTATGAAATTCCACTCCACTTTCAGAAGGAATTATGAGTCAGATGGAAAACCCAAATCGGAGTGGCCGGGAGAGGGGGTGGGAGGGATCAAGGAAAATCCTTTAAAATGGGAAATAAATAAATAAAAGGAACAAATCTCTCCTTGTGCCCCATCAGGCGTGATGGAAAAAGCCTGAGATCACTCCAGACGCGCGTCGTCCTAGGCCCTTGCTGCCGGAGTCTTTTTCTCCCACATGGAAATATGGGGGTGCCCCTAGGAGACGAAGGCCCCTCTGAGGGACTCCCTCCACGTCCAGAGCCTCACCATTTCCTCCCTCCTGAGCATTTCTGTCCGTAAAGACGTGGCTGACTCAACCGCAGGGGCCAGGGGCTCCCCAAAAGGGGGACCTCTGCTTGGCTTGTTTTAAAGGCCACCCTGTGCCAGTCCGTCAAGGGACGGCTCCTCCACGCCTTGTCCGGCTCAGAAAGGAGACGCAGCTCTGAGCCTCCGGGGCTGGTGCGGGCCCTGCCTCCACACGTGTGGCCAGAGGCCCAGCGCAGGCCCAGGGGCACCTCCCCTTGGACAGGTTGGCTCCTCTGGGCAGCCCCTGTCTCCTCCTGTTCTGCATTCCCGGGGCCTGGTGCAGTGTCTGGAACACAGGGGGGAACCTGGATGCTGGCTGGTTGCAGGAATGGCTGTGCCTTGCAGCCTCTCATCTTTATAGGCGCCCCAGTGACCATCAGCTTCCTTATGGGCACGAGCACCTGAGTTGTCAAGCAGGTTCAGGCCCTGCCTGGGTCCGGCTCAGGTGCTGACTGTGGCAACACGATGTGTAGGGGAATTAGGAACAACTGTCATCCCTGACAGATTGGTGAGATTCCAGAGAGACACAAGCCAGGCGAGACGGTGTGCTCCAGTTCCTCCATCTCGCAGAAAGGAAAACACGACATTATCGGCTGCACAGCCCTGAATGCAGCGCACTGAGTGGGGACTGCACTGCAGGAGGCCCCGCGCAGCACCTGGGCCTGCGGGCCCTGACCTGCCACAGCCACAGGGACAGGCAGTAGCTCTCTCAGCCTCTCCTGCAGAGCTTCCGGTCCGGGGCAGGCAGGGTCAAGGCCCCCCTGGGGTGCTGCTGGGCTACTTTCTCCCCTTCCACACGTGGACTGACTTCCTCCTTCCATCCTGCGCTCTAACTTCTCCAAAAAAAGCTCTAAACCTATCATGTCACCAGGATTTATCTTCCCGCTGCCTCTCCACAAAGCCTGCGTCCTCAAAGCAGAACCTTCCTACCGATACATCTGGGCTCGTTTTAAAGCGACCAGGTTGTCTGCTGTTGTCCGGGTCGCCTCCATAAAGGAGGCCTCCTTGTGATTGGTGCCGCATTTGATTTTTCCCCCAGCTTCACAGACCGTCCTGTTTTTGTTCAACAAAGCCAGCCTCCCTCTGTTTGCGCCCTTAAGGTGTGATATATTTAAGTATTTTTAAATGTTAAGGAATAAGATTTTTTAAAAAAATGAAAACCAAGCTTTCCCTCTAGTACACATTTCTGCAAGATAAGTTTCTCCAATAAAAACTACACCAGCCCTAACCGGTTTGGCTCAGTGGATAGAGTGTCGGCCTGCGGACTCGAGGGTCCCAGGTTCGATTCCAGTCAAGGGCATGTACCTTGGTTGCAGGCACATCCCCAGCAGGGAGTGTGCAGGAGGCAGCTGATCGATGCTTCTCTCTCATTGATGTTTCTAACTCTCTATCCTTCTCCCTTCCTCTCTGTAAAAAAATCAATAAAATATATATTTTTTTAAAAACTACACCAGGTACTAGTGTTCCACGCTGCGTCCTTACGGCTTGATTCTCTCAAATTCGGCCCAGACCCAGGGTCCCACTGTCTTGTCTCTTCTCAGGCTCTTGGTTAAACATTTAGGTTATTTGTGCTCTTGTTAAAAACTATAGGCACCTTTGAGATGAGGAGGTTACATCCTTGCCTCAGTAGTCATGAGTGTGCATGCGCATGTGTGTGCGCATGCACACACCACACACACACACACACACACACACACACAGACACACATGCGGACACAGGCAGCAGGTGTTAGGCCCTGGATAAGTTTGTTGAAGCAATAAAGCCCATCACTCACAATGAAAGAGCTCTGTCGGATGCCGAGTACCCTGGAGACCATCTGTATGCAGGACAGCTGAGCCCAGTCAAAAGACCCACCAGTTTAGAGAACGTGGTCCCAAGCCAGCTGGTAGAACTTGTTAGCCCAGTGGTTCTCAACCTTGGCTGCACATTAGAATCACCTGGGAATCTTTTTAAAATCTTGACTTCTGGGCCTCACCCTCTGGAAATTCTGTTTCTTTGTGACTCATGTTGTGGCCCCACCCCATCACAAAGAAACAGAATTTCCGGAGGATGAGGCCCAGAAGTCAGGATTTTAAAAAGATTCCCAGGTGCTTCTAATGTGCAGCCAAGCTTGAGAACCACTGTGTTAGAGGAAAACGGTGAATTCCTCACCTGCGCTGGCAGACCCTCTGCAGAAGGAAAGGTATTGGAAATGTGGCCTGAAGGTGGGGTGAGGGTGACCCACACTTCAGCACCCAGGAGAGCCGTCTGCTCCTGAAGGTGGGGTGAGGGTGACCCACACTCCTCCAGCACCCAGGAGAGCTGTCTGCTCTGCCCCGAATGCTCTACCGATAGCCACTCATTTCACATGTTCGGTCGCCCTCTATGCGAGCTGCTCTGATTCTTCACATGGTACAAAAGAGGGAACTGAGGCACAGAGGGATTCAGGAACTCATCTCAGGTTTTTCCTCTCTCCAAACCGTTCAGCAGTCGAACGGAACAGGAAGGAAAGTAAATGTTCTGAAGTCTCAGTGGGGAGGAGAGTGGCCGGCCGACGCAGCAGGCCCCGAGCAAAGGCAGGAAGAAGGAGAGAGGGTCCCCAGGGGCCCACCCATGCCCTCTCCTGGCCTCTCCTAGCGGCAGGCATGACTCCCCTTTCCTGGGCTGAACTGCTGTCCCAAACAAGTCCCCGGGGATGAAGAAAAGGGATGGGAAGTAGGAAGCAGGGCTAGCAAAGGGAACAGCCCCCTTTCCCAGACGCTCAGGGGGGCGATCAGTAGCAAAGGCCCATGGGAGGGCCCAGCAGCCTCTGTGGAGACATCACATGACAGCTGGCCTTTCCGACAGCTTCCGAGTGAAAAGGGAGAGGGCGCTGGCATGGGAGGAGATCGCCCAGGGTGAGGAAGTGGGATTTTAGTGAGAGAGATGGGAAGCCATGTGGAGGAGGGGACCGCAGAGTTCTTTTCAATCCTCAGGTGAATAGAACTTCTTCTTGCGATGGTTCTCTAACAGAAAGGCACCCACACAACTCAAAACGCCTGCTAAGCCCAACGGCTTCTGTAAACAACGTGAACTTGAGCAACCCTCTCGTTATTGAGCTGCTGGTACTTCTGCTTCCGGAGAAACGAATCCTGCAGGGTGTCCTGACCTCCTCGGCTGGGTCCAGCAACCAATGTGTGAGCAACCCAGAGTCAACCCGAACAACCTCGGCAAAATGGAGGAGGAATTTTAGGTGGTTTGATGTGAAATGTGTTCCAATTTGGTCCTTGTAGGGAGCGGCTCTGGAGTTAAGCCTCAGATTGACCTGTGGCAGAGCCACAAAGAAGTCCCAGCTTAGAGGGCAGAGCCCTCTTAGCATAATTAATCTTGACCTTATGGCCGCCCCCTAGATCCTTCCTGGGTAGCAAATGGGCTGTGGGAGATGCAGCACCGTGCTGCCAAAACAAGTGAAACTCACAAGAACATTGTAACTATGGTGACCACTACCTTGTTTTCCTCTGACTATAAAATAAAGCCTCAGCTTGCTGGCTGGATCCTTCTCTGTGGCCTCATCCAGGCACAGGAGACACACCCAGCCCCAGCTATATTCTCTTTGTCTTTTCTTTAATCCTTCACCGCCCCTCCTCAGGCTCACCGAACGAACCCTTGGCTGTGCTGACACGGCACAGGTCCTAACCTAAGATCAAACGGGGCAGCACAGTGGCCATTGTGAGATTTTATGGCCTTTCCTAGCCTCACTGAGCTTCACTAATACGAAAGCCATAGCGTGAAACCTGAACGCTCTGTCTCCTGGCCGGGCCCTCTCTCATTCAGTCCCAGGGTCTCTCCTTACATGTTAATCCCATTCCTCCTCAGCCCCAGTTAGAGCAGATGCCTACCTTCCCATGCGAACACACATCCCTCTCGGTTTGTCTTCCTGGTAATTCTACTTGGTTTTCAACAGCTCTGGTTTCCCTTATTTTTAAAAGTGCATACGTACTGCAAGAATATATTCTCTGGGAAAACTGTTTAAAACATACATGAGTCCAGACAGTAAAATGTCCAGCTATCCTAACCCCTAATCCACCCCTCACCCCAAAGGTAACTAGCATTTATAGTTAGGAGAGAATTCTCTCATTCTTGCATTCATATAGTCACACAAATGTACTTATTGGGTGTCCCAAAAATGTATGCACACAGTTCAAATAATTACAAAGGCAGTGTTTTTTAAAATATATTTCATTTTTTAAATTAAGCTATCAGCTGCCAACATGTGTATACATTTTTTGAGACACCCTATATGTTCATAGATGTATACACACACACACAGTTCAAAAGGAACCACATAATACGTGTTGTTTTGAGCTTGATTTTTTCATTGTCTTGGAGAACTTCCTATGGCAATGCCAAGACATCTAGCTCAGACCTTTTAGCCACTGCAGAGAATTTGATTGAATAGATAAACCGTCACATATTTTAAGCATATCTCTATAGTCATAATGGGTTTTTCAAATGCTTTGTGATTCAAGCAATTTGCAACAAACACACGTCTTTCTGCACAGTTTCAGCAGTTTCTTTGGGGTAGACGGTTAAGGGGTGGAGTAACCGGGTCTCCAGGGGCTGGCAATTAAAAAACGTGATGGGTATAAGCAAACTGCTCTCCAAATGACCTGTCATTTTCTACTCTGCCAAGCGTGTTTTTAGAGAACCCAATTCTCTGCAACATTCCTAACAACAGCGACCACCAGCCTTTAAATATTTGGGTAATAAGTTGGATACAAAAAAAAATTCATCTTATTTCTTTCCCTGATTATTACTGAAGTTGGGCATTTTTTTAAGTGTTTATTGGCAACTTGTATAGTCTTTTGAGTATTCAAGTATGAATATAATTGCCTGCCATATCCTCTCTCTATTTTCCTATTGGGTTTTTCTGGCTTTCTATGACATATTCAGAAAAGATCTTTATATATTCTGGAGAGCAGTCCATTTTCCATTATAGATACTTTTTAGTTACATAGAAGTTTAAGATTTTTAGTTATTAAAAATAACGAAAACAAAAAATGTTAACTCCTTGAGACCAAATACTGCCGTCTTCAAACAACCCTTCCTGGCTTTCTTTCTTACTAATATCCCCTCTACCATGAACTTCTCATTTCTAGACTGTAAGTTCCTTGAAGGCAGGAACTGGTCTTACTCATCTTGGTAACCATCACGGAGCTTACAGTAGACACTATTTTACTAGAACGCACAGAAGCTAAGTGGATAGTTATGGGATTGACGTAAAGTCTTAGGGCCTCTCCTGCTGTTGTTTTAAATTCCCTGACATGTAGGTTGCCTGCTACTTACTCTTTGTTTCCACTGGCCTTCAACAGCTGTTGACACAGTGACGAGTATCCTGGGGTACTCAGTAAAGACACATTGATCAATGGATTTCATTTTGCGATGACCTCATACATTTTATTCACAAAAGAGAAGTATGTCCCCAAAAGTGTTCCATGGGATAAAATTAAATGATAAGATTTCCCCCAAAAGTTTCCAGATCTAAGTCAATTTGGGGAGAAGTAGATTAAGTCAAGTTAAATAGGTTTCTCTCTCATTAATTTGAAGCTGTACTATGCCTAAGAAGGACATGTGGCATTTTCAGAAAGTTCCATATGACAGAACATTTGGGGTTTTTGTTTATTGACTGATTTTTTATTTTTTTCCAGTGAATTGTGTTCTGTGTAATTTCAATTATATTTATTTTTTAATTTGGGTAAAAACTTCCAAGAGATATTATTTTTCTTCTTTTTAATATCCATTATGAAACAATTTTAATACTCATCCCAAGAAAGGCCTGTGATGACTGGGCTTTCAAGAAAGATAGGATCAAATTCTGACTCTCCAACATAGTAGAAATCTAAACTTGAGCAAGGTACATTGTTAATACATGAGATCTGTTTTCTCACCTGAAGAGTGGGGAGAACAATGGCCCCCATC